TGCAAATCGAAATGCTTGAGATGCCTGTTCACCTCTTCTCCCTTCTCCTACCTTTCAAGACTAATGGCACTTTGGGCCGAGAGTGTCTGTGTCTGTCTGCCTGCCTGTATGTGCGGTGGACTTGGTGGATTGTGGTACGGCGTAGAAAACATGCTGAGATGGCTTGGCCCCTCCAGGCTAGTTCTGGCAGTGAGAATGAAGGTCTGTGCAGGGGAAGTGGAGGTGTGCCACTCACTGCAATGTCTCCAGGGAGACGTGTTTTGAGTGGAGCTCATTTCAAAGTGTGTACGTTCGTGTGTCTCATGTCCTTTTGTCTATTTATGTTACACTTTTCCCTCTGTGTATCTTTTGCTTTGTGGAAGTTTTAATATTTTTTATATTATTTTAGTATTTAATATTTAATTGTATTAAGATTATTCATATTTAAAATAATATAATTTATTAATATAATTTACAACATTCTGTGTATTTTCAGAATTAATAAAATTGAGACCTAATTTTGGAATATACACTCTTAAAAAGAAATGTTCCCCACAGAAACGTTCAGTGAACAGTTCTTGAAAGAACCTTTTTTCTAGTTTGAAATAATCTGAAGATCCTTTTTCCACTACAAAGAGCATTTTGTGCATTGGAAAGGTGGTTTTCTCAGTGATGCCATATAAGAACCATTTTCGGTTCACGAAAGAACCTTTCAGTGAACAATTCTTAAAATAACCATTTTTTTCTTAGTGTGAAGAACATTTTATTCATCTAAAGAACTATAAACAACCGTTTGTGGAATGGAAAGGTTCCATGGATGATAAAAGTTCTTCATCGAACCACTGATGCAATAAAGAACCTTAATTTTTAGAATGTATGGATATTAAAGTTTCTTTATGGAACCATAGATACTAAATAACTTTTATTTTTAAGGGATTCTAGTATTTATAAAATACACTCTTAGAAATATACAGTATGTGTTTATGTTCCCTCTCTTTCTCCTTCTGTGTGTGTTTTCATTCATGCTAATAGTTTGTGTATATATGTGGAAATGTCCACTAAATAAAGCATGCGCAAATTAGGCCCTCTAAACACTTCTGTCTGTAAATTGCACAAAGAACACAGAGCCGTTTTATCTAATATGCATGTATTCACATCCTATTTATGCAAAACTCGAGAGATCACACTTGTATGATATCTTTGATAGACACCCAAAGCCTTTGAGACTGATATAATAAGGACATTTGCCTTTAAATGAATCACATATGCTCTGCTCTTTCAGTTTGTGGATTTTTACAAAGATTGTTGCATAAGTGTAAATGCATTGAATATTTCAGTTGTTCTTCTTTTATAATGTCATATGTGCATGGCCAGCAAAATTTTAGATTTGATGTAATTATGTTAACACTGAAATTAGCAGTAATGTAACAGGCATTTTGTGTCGAGTTTTCTGCCTCTCCCTCTTAAATTTTAATGGGTTAGGTGAATGTAAAGTTGAACATGATTAAGAAAAAGAGACAGAAGTAAATACAAGAATCACTATCCACTCATTGAATAATCCATAATAACTATTTTTCGTCAGTTTGGCTCCTGGTGTTGAGTTAGTGTATCTTAAAGAGGACTGAATGAATGACTTACTAGATGTTTAGGAGAGTTGCTAATATGTTAGTATGTAATAATATTTGATAATTGCAGTCTACTTGTGCCATTATATGCCATAATAATTATATAATGGTAAAAAATGAATCAAATATATTTTCTACTAACGATATGCATCAACCGGAAGTAAAATCAAAAAGTTTTTTGGAGTCGTAGTAAAAGTACATATTGTGTTTTTTTGCAATCTTTTTTTTCATACATAAATGTACACATTTATGTTTCGACAGCGTTTCCAAACGTTGCCGTAATTCTCAGAATGCGTATTCAAATGATGCAAACCAATAGAATCCCCATTCCCAGAGGTAACTATAGAAACAGTGAGCATTAATTTACTTTTCATTACAGTCGGTTTTAGGTGGTACATCGATAAACTCATTGCATTTCATTTAATTATAAAGTCACATATGTCGTATATGATTTTTTTAAGCTAACTATGCTAGTGGCCTAAATTATGTTGCGTGAGACCAACATGTTGCGTTCTGAAAATTTGCCTACATTTAATTAAGCAAAAATCGATTTTAATGAAGAAAAATACTTTTAAAATATCGAAATTCGTTTATAATATCCATACCTCCTGTAAGTCATTGTATAATTCACACACTGACTGGGATGTAGGCTATTAGTCACTCCGAGCACAAATCCCTCCCGCTGTTTTCAGGACCCTGGACAGTTCCTGTGTCTACACAGGTGCCTCTGCACGTTCCACTAGCGTTTGTTTGTATTGCAGACCTTAGGCCCTTTCTCTAGAGGTTCATAGCATTGTAGCCTATTGATTAGACGTAGAAGAATGGGCTCTCAATAACCGTTTCCAGTCCCAAATGTTAGCTTTCCCATGCATCAAATGATAACGCGTTGGTTCGTTTATGATGCAAGTGGGAAGGTTCTGTGTCATTTAAAATCAGCTTTTAATAAGTTGTTGCGTGTCTATACTTTCGCATTCACATAGTTTTGGGTGCATATGTGTGTACGCAGAAGCTGTGGGCTGATTCGCTATTTAACCAAAAAGACTCGACAAGGTTAGGCCAGCCTGTTAATGGCTCTTCTGTCAGGGCGATTGTAAACAGATGGCACCTTTAATTTTAGCATTTAGCTATTTAAAAATATGCAAATGACTGGAAGTAGCCCAGGCGTGCATTTCACTCATATTTGCTTATTCGCGGAGGGTAACGTCAGGGGGAAAACTGAGGATTTCTTAAATGGGAAGTCAACAAAACAATACTTAGTGAGAAAATAAATAGCGTGCATCACGAAGGGATTAGAAATGTAAGCGAAGCCAAACTCGCTGCCGTTGTTGCCTGCCAAGAACAGCGGGGGTCCCGAAACTCGCCCTTGGCTCTCTTTTTCTCCAGCATGCAGCCCACCGGCATCCCCTGACTCCAAATATTACCAAACGCTATTTAGTCATTGCTTAAGCCCTGCATGTTGTAAAAGGATTATTAATTTCAGGGGATGATTGGATAGATAGATAGATAGATAGATAGATAGATATGGTTCTTTATTCATTTAGACTTATATAGGTATTTTTTGTGAAACCCATATTCTAAAATGTTTATCATTTTTTATGTTTATATCATAATAATAATAATAATAATGATGATGGATATTCAATTGATATTTATTATTATTCGTATATTCCTCATTATTATTATTATTATTATTGTTAGATTGTTGTTTTAAATAGTCCCAGACTACTTTATTTAACAATGCACAGAGCATTGGTTACGGTGTTTGCGTTCTCTTTCTTATCCGATACACTAACACAACTGTAAACTACGTGCTATTGTTTACATGCAGAGAGGGAAGCAGGTAGACAGACCACGGGTGGCCTGATCCGGATTTATTCCAGTGATCAGACATGCCTGTGGCTTTCAGAACCCGTGAGAACACAGCTCTCTGACAATATGCCGCAATGATATTACCCCACACAATATTTAATGCTAATGCACAAGGAAATGTGGGTTCAAATATCATTGTCTAACGATAATAAATAAAATCGTACGCTGCTATTTTAGTTGTTTTCCTTTTGATTGATTAATTAAATTATATCTATGGAATTTCGTGTGGACACGCACCAGAATACCTGTAAAAAAAAAATTAAAAGGTTTAAATTGTGTCAATATACCATATTGAGACTGAGAGTAATTTCCACTAAATGTTAAAAAGCTGCTAAAGGTTGTAAATTCAGTCTCTAATTCACTAGAATAAATTAGAGTGTACGTAATGTTTGCATTTCCACAGCTAACAAAATGATTACCTGGGTAAATATTTAAAATCCCTTCGATTTGTGGCTACTTTGTCAAACCGCTGGGCGATCCGGTACTCGCTATTGATGCGAGCCAGTATCTTAATCCGGTGTATTTCCCTGTAAATAGCTTTATGCATGAGAAAAGAACGGGATCCCCAACAGCGCGCACAGATCATTCATTCAGAATTAAGACGCAGTGATGGCTATTTGGATTTTCTACTCTTATTTTCTTTAGGCGTAATGCAAAAGACGTGCACACTTAAATAGCATCTATAAATGTTTAGAAATATTTATCGACGTTTCTAAGTTAATTACCTTGTGGCAGCCACTGCCACTAGATTTTCAGTCTCAAATTAATTGAAAAAAATGGAGTCATTATCGTCTTAATAAAAAATAGTCTCAAAGGTCTATGAAGAAATCGAACAGCGTCTCCCAGTCCAAATGTGCTGTGCAGGATCCAGGTCTAGTGAGGCCAAAAACGCAAGCCTGTGCACATTTTCTGATTTTACTGGTCGAATCCAAATTCGGTAGAAACAAAAAAAAAAAAATAGCACGTCGATAAAATAATTAGCTTTACTACCATCAGCCTTTATAGACGTTTTACCAAACCCAAGGTAGAACTTTGGAAGCAATCTGAGAGTACCAATATTTAAACCCGTTGCCATGGCGACTTGTCCACGATTGGCCACCGCGGCGTAAGTACAAGAAAAACGTCATTGAATCTGAATACGGATGCGAGAGGCTCCCGCGAACTAGAACGAGTGATGCAAAAAGTGTCGGTGAGGTGAGTGGACACAAGCAGGTGGATCAAGAGCACAAAACAAAACCAGGAGGAAACCTTGGAGAAGCCTTTTTGTTGGCAAACTCTCTGCAACGAATATATGTATTTTCTGATTCAGTGGATTTCTGGATGCCGACAGGTATGATGCATAACAATCACGTCTGGAGTGTTTACTTCTAGGCGTGGTGGAGACTCATTCTCAAGACGGAACATTTGCTCTGCTGTTGCTTACCTCTCCAAGAAGCCAAGACGTTGCTCCGCACCGATTCGTGTGGTCCCAATCCGAGGCGCAGTGCCCGTTTGGGAAGGTCGGCTCTCGGTTCCCTCCAGGGCGGAATGATGGTGCACTGCGCGGGGTGCGAGAGGCCCATTCTCGATCGGTTCCTCTTAAACGTTCTCGACCGCGCATGGCACGCCAAGTGTGTCCAGTGCTGCGAGTGTAACTGCAACCTGACCGAAAAATGTTTCTCCAGGGATGGAAAGCTCTATTGCAAAATTGACTTTTTCAGGTAAGATCTGAAGCTGCTTGCATTTGGGCTGCCTCACCTCGTCAAACTTCTGGACTAATCCTCGTTTGAAGAATGTGTCATGTAGGATTTACCTACCCTTGTTTTCCTCTTATGTGGATGAGGCTCGATTTGTGGATTAACCTGCCTAAAATGTGTAATGTACTGTTAAACCTTTGATCCTCCGTCGTTCATTAATAGCTTTTGATTGATGAGCCATTCATTGCTTATTGTAGGCTATTCACAAGCTTTCGGCGTGAGAATTCCTCTTGAAGGCCTTTTTGCACGATTGTGAGAAAAATATCTGTTAGTGGAGTAATTGTGTATTATACTCGAAAACACATTATTGTTTTGCTACTTATTATTATGCATTTGAAACCTGATTTCAGTGGATAACTAATATTAAACAAAACAGACGGTTGTGTTTTTTCACATTTATCCAGAAATATAAACGAAAATTTCAGCGAATAGGATTTCTTTTTAATATATAGGAAATATATCATTTACTTAACCTCCAAATTGACAAATAAAATCGCCAAGATTATTTAAATGTTTTATTAATTCAGAAACGTTTAAAAAAAATGAACGTTTAAAAGTTAATGTCATTAGTCTGGTTGAAATATTATAAACAGCAGCCTAGTTAAATCACTAAACAAACTAATTTCTTTAAATCAATTAAAAAAGTAAATACAAATATGCACTAAATTCCTTAAGATTAGAACCCCAAACAACACAGTCTCAAAACACCTGTGTTGCGTACCTGTAATGATATTGTTGTAGTCTCAGAAGAGGCCGCTCATTTACCTTTATTAGTCCTTATAGGCTATCGCTCAGTGTGTTCTGTCAGGTTTTCTTCTAGTTTACATTTCTCTGCGCTATTTAATGTCAGTGTTTAAGCTTTCATATGTGCCATTGTTTTCCCAAACGGCCTTGACCATTACGTTCTATGGGGCCCATCCAACTCTGCGCTTCAATGTGGAGCCATTAGTGGGGCGAAACAGTAATCACCCGTAATGCGTCCATTTGTTGTGTAAGTAGTGTTATGGCCTTTCACTGGGAGAGGTGCATTTGAAAAGCGAGAGAGCGACTCGATACCATAACAAATGGGGGAAGATTTAGTACATTAGTGTTAAAATAAACCCGAGGGGAGAAACAGAAGGGAGTAGTGCGCTTGACGTGCCTTACGACCAAGACCGGCCTGTATACCTGGTCTTTCCCGTCTCATTGTTATTGAAATATGAATTGAACAAACCACACGAACTCTGTATTATTTCGGCCTCTACTTCGAGGGGAAAAACAGTGTAGGCGCAGATTAACAAATCAGAAAAGGAACAACCACCTGTAATTGGCGGCTTATTTCAATTCACAGGATGAATGGATAAATATAAGAAAACCGAAAATCAGGTTTTGTATTTGTAGATGAAAAACACTCTAGTTCCATTTTTATTTCAACGACAACTCACACTCATACTAAGAAATTAATATGATAGGTGAACTGACTTGCGTTTGTGTTTAATACTACAAATTAGGCTTTGGTATCTTAATCCCACAATATCTCTTCATTTAGAGCATGTCGACTTTATCTTGAGCCTATTGCCAAATTCCTTCAGATTTATGGCATGGTTTATGAAAATGCCAATGCCTGTAATAAATATTAATAAATATTATTTTTTTTCATATTAATCATTTAAAACTATTTTGTGAAAGTATAGCCTACATAATAATTATTATTTTAAAATAATATAATTTTCGAACCAATATGTCAGCTGACACAGTGAGTGAAAATCATGTGTGCGTGATCCACCAGTAATTTTAGTTACATAATATGACAATGTTCAAGATATACAGAATTCACAATTTACTTACTGCACGTTACAAAATACACGCATACTATATTACATACAAGTACTTTAAACAGGTAGGCCTACTTGGAATGGAAAATAAATTGCAGAATGCTTTTCGGTATTCATTATGGTCCTTTACAGTCTCCGGTGGAGTGTCTGTAAAATGAACAATTATTGGCACAGCATGTAGCTACTGGAGAGCAATATCATCAATGCCCATGATGTAACCTTTCTGTTGACCATT